AAAAATAAAACAAAAATTCAGGGGAAAAAAACAACAGAAATTTAGGTAACACAAACTATAATCGTCATTTTCTCAAATAGAAACCCCCCTTCAAAGGGCTGTTTTCCTAGTCCATGACCCATGTAGTCGTACTGCAAAGCCCAACAATGATGATCATTTCTATTTTGGGTGGGGTACATGATTAACTCACGAGCATGGTTGTCGAGGAATAGTAATAGGTTATGAAAATATGCATTATTTATACCTGAACCGCATAATTTACAGCATATTCGCATAAATCGAAAAGTAATGCATGCAGAATTTGGGTCTGTTGCCTCTCCTGCTGCTTTAGCCATCCTCCAAATTTGGTAATAAAACTACCATTTGCGCTTTAACAAAAAAAATTCCTTGGGCAATTTTGCTAACGCGATTTTTTAAAAAAACGAACGTTTTGTTTTGATCCTACTGATCGTGTAACATTACATCAAAGCGAGGCTTGCTATTGGATAAGCAATTGTAGTTCTTCACGTGACAGTGAAATTTTTGTGGCGATCCTGGGGTAGTTTAAAATAAACAAGCGGTGTGTTTTTATCCTAACAAACACTTAGAAAAAGTAAAATATTAGCCATGTCCACGCCCACGATTATTGCAACAGAAAATTTAGCTGAAGAAATGGAAGACTGGGGTCTTCACCATGCAAGTAAGCATCTGCTAAAAACTTCTATAATCACAAGAAGCAACACCAATATCTTCGCTTACTCTTTCTAGCATACTGGTGTAGTGATTTAGACTCATGGGGAAGTGTGAGCGACTGGGACGTTTATTTTATCGACAAGACTCCTGGGTGTACTAAAGACGAAGCACATCGGTCCCTGAGTCTTGAACTTAATATCCTTCTTAAGAAACTGTCGGAAAGTAGTCGATATTATTCCAAGGCAAGCGCCTTGAAAAAGGCTTTGGAGGTCAGTACCTTTCTCACTAGGTTTCATAATAGGAGCACATTACCATGCCCTGCAGTCGTGTTCTGAGTGATTTTTCACACAAGGCAACTCGTGTTGTTGCCTGAAGTGGGAAGTATATTATGGTCTGGACTTG